TGTGTGTGTGTGTGTGTGTGTGTGTGTGTGTGTGTGTGTGTGTTGGCAAACTCTACCTGATTTTGCAGATACCTCCCCTCCAGCTGGTACATAAAAACAGCCTGAAGGAGAACAGATTGTTGCAGAAATGTCACTTTGATGCGAGGAAAAAGAAAAAGYGATTTGATGTTTTAACATGAACAACTTAAACTTCAACTATTTACTAATTAACTTTTTTTAAGTGTTGGCAGACTCTGATTAGTGATCATGTCAGGGTCTGCAGGCTGTTATAAATGAAAAGAGGAGATAATAGCAAACAGTGTAACTGAATGCTTTGAACACAGAAACCTCAACAAAAACTGCAGGTTATTTAATAATTTTATCCTTTTTATGCATTATTATAATGTGTTTGACATCAGCAGATAGGACTGAGAGAAAGTGAGAAACAGGCTAATGATCATTTGATGAGTTTATAATAAAAAGGATAAAGTCCTCCACATGTGGATGTGAATGTTGGTGTAGTGGCAGCTGACGTTCATGAATCATTAAAGATCTGTTTAGAACTTTATCCTGCAGGGAAGCAGCGTTCTTTCTAAGAATTCTCATTTTGTGCTTTTATTTAAAAGCTTTTATTTTACAGTTGATTCTTGAAACTCACCGGCAGAGCTGGCATGAAGATGTTGACGTAGAGCTGGGTGAGTCTTCATGTAAAAAAAAACAACAGAACAAAATGAAACACATAAAGCTCTGGMTCTGCTGGGAAAACACCGCACGTCGAAGAACAAAGTGAAAAATTGAAATCACGAAGAACAAATGGTGATTAGTCACCCGACGCAGTGTCAGCGCTGACCTGGCGACCTCTGGACTTTGCTTGGCAGCAAGCATCAGAGGTTCTGTGTTGACGAGGACGGCCCAGCAGGGGAAACAGGACAGCAGGAGAATCAGAATCCCCCTCTGAAGGATCACACCCACCCGCTTCAGGTTTCCGCTCCCGTAGGTCTGCATGAAACAGGAAGACACTGACCTGTTAGGAAACGCCAAACTAGATCAAAAAGCCAGGGCGCAAAAAAGAAAACTGATGTGATATAAGAGCTCAGAAAGCCCAGGATGACCCGAGGACTCAGCAGGACCAGCCGAGACCCTCTTTGTTAGGTAAATAAGGTGAAAATACAAGCTTTACCTGAGATATGAGCGTGTCACAAGTTAACGACAAACCAGTGCCGATTGAAACGCCGGTGACGTTCACCACCTGCAGAGAGCACGGAGACGCAGAAACATGAAGAAGTGAAGAAAGGCTCAGGAACAATGAGCAGAACCAGCAGCTCACCGCTATGGATAATGTTACTGCTGCCAGTTCTGTCTTCCCCAGGTGACCACAGAACACGGTGCTGACGAAGCTGATCATGAAGACCATCAGCTGGGAAATGACCTGAGAAATCAGTTTAATCATCATTATCAACAAAACCACGAAATGAGGTGATTTATTATCAGAGACCTGCAACAGATTCGGTTTAGTTCTACAGAAATCTCAAAACCTGTTTTTTGTGTTTGAATGAGTTGGATTAAATTTTAAGATCATTCCTCATGTGAGCAGGAGTTCAGGCTGAAGTTGGTTTTTACTTTGCAGATTTGAAATGTTCAGTTTGAATGTTTTAAGCTCATCTGTTACATCAACATCTTTTAATATTTGTTATTTTACCCACATTTATTCACTCAGACCCAGAAAGAACTCACTAAAACAGGTGTTATAATCAAACACCAGGATGCAAACTGAGACCAAGTTTGGTTCCAACTCTGACACAAATCCTCCAAACAGGTCTGTCAATAAAACCTGAATTATTCTGTTTAAAGGGACATAAAGAGTCACACGAGGACCGGGTCCAGGCTCACCACTGGTCCTGCCAGTTTAAAAAGCTGTGCCAGCTCATTGCGGTAATCCTGCGGGACCATCCCCCAGATCCTCTTTAGGCAGGACCCCCAGCCCTGAGCGGAGTCCTGGTCTGGTTTCAGATCCACCTTGACCATGTCGGTCTGTGAGACTTTCCCAGAAGAGTCCATAACTGCCCCTCTGTGTGCCGCGGTCCAGACCGAGTCCTGCCTCAGTCTGACCCACAGCCTCTGAAACATGAGTTACATGCTGGGCCGGACTCAGACCGGGATGGGGGACGGGGGGGGGGGACGGGAAGGGGGGACGGGGAGGATGTCCTGCGAGCCAACCACCTCCTGCTGCTGTGAGGGGTGGGGCTGCCATGTGGCGTTCACGTGCACGTGATGAGTTCCAGTTCACTGAGACTGATTATGCAAAACACAAAAAAAAAATAAAACACCGAGAAACAAAAGATTCTGGATCTGATCTGGATCTGGGGACGCTCTGTCAAACAATGATGGTTCAACGTGCGCTGTTTTTTTTGTTTTATCATAAACTCATCAAAATCAAAACATTGTTAGAATTTAAACAAATAAATGAAGAATCTGTTTTCATTTCTTAAGATCTGTGTTTAAGCATCCCTGGAATCAACCAGGGAGTGCTGTAGCACCCTCAGCACCCACACTTCCCACTGTCTTGCAACAACTAGGCATCACTTCAGAAATGACCGGACTATCCCTTTAAGCAGACTCAGCCTAAAACTGAACCTCTCAGCTGTAAAAAACAGCACAAAGTTGTTTTTTCTGCTCCTCTGAGGCTGGCTGCTGCCACATCCTAAAGTCAGCAAGTATACTGTACATACAAATATTCTGAAAAAGCCAACATTAAGTCACCGGTTTGACCAGAATAAAGTCATTTTCTGACACGCATAAAACAGAACATGAACTTGTCATGTGCAAAACATCTGAATTACGTCCCCAAAAACCAAACTTTAATGTCACTGAATCACTGATGAAACATTAAAAACTAAACTTTTAGCAACTTTGCAGAATCATAAACAAGTTCAGACTTTCGACTTCTTGTGTCAAACTATGTTTCTGCACCTAAAACATTAAAACCTGCTCTGTTATCTGAGCAAACTAATACAAATCAAATAAAATTCATCTACTTCAAAGAATCAGTTTCAGCATCAGTAACTACGAGGCGACAGAGCTGTTAAACAGTCACAGTTTAATGTCTGTGACTCAGCACTTTAGTTAATTTATGACTCTTTGACTGGAAACCAAACTGGTTACATGCTAAACTTCTGTTTTATTAAAACGTCAAACTCCAACATGAGAAGAGGAGAAAACAGCAGACTGTGAAATGATTGACAGTGGAGTGAAATCAGAGAATTGAGGGTTTGTCGACACGCTTGTGCCAATGGAAATATCWTGATACCCGCAGGAGGAAAGGAAGGATTGTTGAATCACGACAGGAATAAATACAAATGATGGAGAAAGTTCCAGGAAAGCTTCTTCAGTCCTGCGAGCTCCGGTTTCCCCAGGTGACCGAAGCGCACCGAGCTGCAGACACTGAAGACCGTCAGCTGAGAACTGACCTGGAAAACAAAAACACAAAACCCTCCAGGTGTGATCAGGAAATCATCCTAACCTGTGTGAGACGCAAAGAGCTGACCTCCTCCTCCTCTCACTGCTTCAAACAGATATTCCTTCTCCAAATCAGAATGTTTATTCACCTCAGGCCAGTTTTATGTACACAACATTCAACACACACATCATCCCATAAATCATTAAATGTATAATAAATGTTTAATAATGTGAGGTTTGGGTCCAGAATGATGGGGGTGTAAGAGACCAGGTCCTGTTCCAGATGTTGAAGGCCAGGTTGTCCAGGTGTTTGGTCTGTGGATGATCCAGCAGGGGGCAGCACTGCAGCCTTGTAGCATGGAGATATATTGGACCAGCTAGAGTGAGTGGAAACCACGTGACCTGTGATCTACTGTAGATRCTAAGAGGCTTTAACGTTACTGTACATCATTGTGGCAACATAGTGAAAAAAAGGCATCATTTCTGATGCAGAAAACATTAAAACTATTAATAATAATATTTAAATAGAATGTTAATATTTTAGAGTGTATATAATCTAACTAATGTTTTAAATAATGCCAGAAATCAAAATGAAGAAAATATAAATAATCATAGAAAGCTGTCTGGATTTTACCAACAGAAGAGAAGCAGGAAAATGTCTCATTTCACAAGTAAGCAGATCTGATCTTATTTAGCTCATCTGACCAGAACTGAATACAACAGTTTCAAATTAAAATAAACTTATAAAGTCAATGTAATCAGTTATTTATTG